CCCCAAAACCCCAAAACCCCAAAACCCCAAAACCCCTCAAATAATAAATAAAATAGTCTACTTCTAACTTTTAAATTTGTTGCTTATGCTAAATATATATTGCTTGAAGAGATGAAATCTCTAACTTAGAACTTTGGTTGCTATTGATGAATAATATAAATGAAGCCCTTACTAATTGCCTCAAAGCAAAATATAATATAATTACCCAGCTCTTTCTACTTCTAAACCATTTAAAAGTTTGAAACTTTCCACTCAGACTTGGAGGAAACTCATCTTCACTTCAAAATAATTTCGGTATCTGGTGTTCTACTCTAGTAAATTTAAGAAAATATTGAAATGAGATGAATGTGTTTTTCTGAACATCAATAGCCAAACACAGAATGTTTATTTCTCACAAAAATTTTATTAATTGAAGCTGTGTCTAATTAAGGCTGCTTAAGCACTCACTAGAATCCCTCTTGGCAACTAAATAAGAAGAGACACTTCAGAAAGTTAAGAATGGTTTAATGTGCCTAATGTGACAAACAACCCCATAGCCATTTAGATTTTGAAGTTTTAGAGAAACTCAAGTGGATCATGCTGATTATTCATGGAACTCTTGGTCTCTGTGTGCTTGGTGTTCCTCTCTCTTTTTCTCAAATTCTTCATAAGCAGCTTCGAAGCCTTCAGCTCTCTCTAAAGTGATGAACAGCTTGGCTTTGTTCAATTTGACTTCGTTCTCTCTCTCAACTTCCACTTGGTCGGTTCTGATCTCGGTGTATTTGGCATAGTTGTGCTTCACCAATGAATCAGCAGCTTGCACAGCAATAGATATGGCGCTTCCAATGGCATGCATCTCAACTACAGGGTTTTCTTCGGCGACTTTGAAGAACTTCTTAGCTTGATAAACGAAGAAGGAGAAGTTTCTGCTGGCGGAAACATTGACTATTCTTGGTCCAACAGTCTGTTCTTCTCTTGGCTCAGCCTTTTCACCTGTATATCCTCCTTTGGTTCCAGTTGTATCCATATTTAACCTAGTGTTTATCAAAATTAATATTATGGGGATTTGTTGCTTCAGGATTTCAACAGATTTGTTTCTACAGGGGTTTTGGGGTTTTGGGGTTTTGGGGTTTTGGGG